CGCACTAATGAAAAGGCTGGTGGCAGCGACGCGAAAAGGATAGACATAGAGCTAGGCGAGAGGAAGAAAAGGTGGATACGAAAAAGGATATGAGACACGGAGACATAAGGAGAAAGATAAGCAGAGACAGGGCAAGAAGAGAGGAATGTAAAAGTGGGCATAGTTCTTTTTGATCCCCACCCCCACGCCCCTGATGGAGCTTTCCTGTAGGCCTGCACACCGGGCCAGTTAAGGCAGGGATCTCCGTGTTGGTGGTGATGGGTGTTTTCTCTCTCTGAGATCTCAGAGCGGGCCCCTTCTCCATGATCGCCCTATATAAGGGGGTGTCTTTGAGGAATGCTTCCTATCATCACCGGCTTTTTCGTCATTATCATCACAGAGTGCTCACACTGCACTTACCATGCCCAGAGAGGTTAAGCCACTTGCCCAAGGGCACACAGCAAGTAGGTGATGGAGCGAAGACTTGAAACCAGGCAGCCTGGCTATATAGCCTGGGCTTTTAATCATCATGCTACATGGCGGTAACAGTGTCTAGGGGACAGACCTGCCAATGGACCCCTCCAACCCTCTCAGAACATTTATCTTCCCCAGGAAGGCCTGGAGCGAGCCCAGGGCCCAGAGGCCTTCCTTGGCTGTCATGCCTGCCTGGCTGTGGCCTGCACTGCCCACAATAACCCTAGCCTGAATAAGGTTGGGTGACTTTGTCTTCTACCCCTCATCCTTCTAACAGGCAGAGCCGGTAGCTCCACATCCAAAATATTTCCAGAATTTTACCCCTCACCCTCCACCCAGGCCCTCATCCTGGTCTATCCTTCATCCTTTCCCACCTGGACTATGGCAGCAACCTCTTTCTTGTTCTCCCTGCTCCTCCCTTTCCTCCATAGCCTGCTCCCTATATGCAGCCAGAGGGACCTAGCGCCTATCACAGCAGGGCCCTCCTCGACTCAGGCATCAGCGTGCTGCACCTCACTGGAGGTACAAGCCAATGTTCTCAACCACAGCCCACAAGGCCCTGTGTGAACTTTCCCATCAACTCTCCAATACCGCCTCCTCTCACTCTCCCCCTCGTTCACTCCATTCCAACCACACCGTGTCCTTGCTCCTCCTCACCCTAGGACCTTTGCATGGGCTTTTCCTTCTGCCTGGAATGCTCCTCCCCCAGATACTGGGTTCCCTCTTTCCCCCTTTTGGATTTTACTTATTGGTGCCTTTCAGTGAGACCTCTGCTTTAAAACTGCACACACCTCCACCACACCCACACACTCACTTCCCTCTCTGCTTCAGTTTTCGCCATAGCAACATTGCCCTCCTCCGGCTGACTGACACCCTAGCTGTTGGACATTTGCAGGGGCTGTTCTCCCTGGAACATCCAGGCCACATGCCTTCCAGGCCAGCTCCTTCTCATCATCCAGGTCACTGCTCAAATGTTATCTCCGTAGAGATTCCTCTTCCCCACCCCCCACCCCACCCCAATACATTTTCATTCAGTCTTTACAGCATTTATCAGAGTCTGAAATTATCTTGTTTATTAGGTTACTAGTTCACCTACTAAAGCAGAATGTGAGCACCACGAGGGCAGGATTTTGTCCGCTGTGTTCATTGCTGTATCCCCAGCTCAGCACCAGTCTTGGCAAGGGGTGTGAGGGCTTTTTCAGAAGCAGGTAACTGTCCAAACAAACCCTAGTTCCGCTCTGAGGCTGTTTTACTGACTGCAAAGATTCAAGCTGAGGGTGGCAGGCACCTGGTACCCAGGGGAATCAGGGCTGATGGGGGTCTTGGGCCCAGCTTGGCCCTAAGGTTCAAGAGGTCCCTAGAAGGGAGTGCTAGGAGCCAGACCCTTGAGGGAGGCACTGCTATGCCCCAGGATGAATGGTGGGGCTAGGCCAAGCCCTTGCATGATCAGTCTCTTCTTCTGTCTTCTACCATCTGTCAGATGACATTATCTGTGCTGGTCCTTATGTACTGGGGGTCTGAGTATCCAGGAGTTGAGGCTTGGCATCCAGTGTGGGAGGTGCAGGACCTTGGGCTAGGACCACAGCTATGTCAGGCTCTCCACAGATGATGGTGAAGGCTTGGGATTCCTCAGGTCCAGCGAACTGGGGCAGTCCCAGGCAAAGAAGTGGTAGAGATGGAGAACACAGGGGAGTGAGGGGAGGGAAGGAAGGTGGGGGGATAAATGACGAGGAACAGGGAGGCCAAGGTGGGAGGGAGTGTCAGGAAACAGAGAGAGATGTGGGCAGAGACAGATATGGGGAAACAGGGAAGCAGAAGTGACAGCCAGAGACACATTCATGGGGAAATAAAGAAGTATGGGAAAACGGAGAGATAAAGGGGGACAGAGCCATGAAGAGACAGATATGGGGATAGGAGAAATGTAGGGGCAGAAAGACAGGGATATAAGAAATGGGGGACACAGAAAGATGCAGATGAAGAAAGACATGGAGAAATAGGGAGATAGATGGGAGAACAGACAGATTGGAGGGCATAAAGACAAAGATGAATGGAGGAAGGAGGAGGAGATAGGGAGACAGGGATCGAGTGGGGGCAGGGGAGGCAGAGAAAGACGGTAAGTCCAGGAGCCCTGGCAGGCTTCATGAAGAGCCCCAGGCCTGAGTCTGAGCTCTGTCCTTGCCCCACTGTATGGCCCTTTTGTGCCCCAGGGTGATTTAGGCCACAGTCTCAAGTATAAAGCTCCAGGGGCAGCCATACTGCAGCTCCAACTGACTGCTACTAACTGGGAATATGAACCCAGTGCTGCTAGATCTGCTGAGCCTTCAGGAAAGACCAGAAACTCTTTTACACCACTGCTGAAGTCATACAAACAATATCTGCGAGCCATGTGCAACCTACTGGCTGTCAGGCTGAGACACCTTAGCTCAGAGGTAACGTGGGGGCTCCTTTCTCAACCTCCCTCCCTCCTCTTTTGTCCAGGCAAGGCCAGAGCCCCAGGACCTCAAGCTTGGCCTTGGGGTTTTAAGCAG